TGCTTGATATTTTCTCAAATGATGAAAGTCATGAATGTTCATTTCCAATAATTTTTTATTAATAACCATTGTGTGTTCTTAATCCATACTCTTATATTGACTTCATGCATTAATTCTTTCACATTTGTATACATGTATTCCTATCATGCGAATATGTGCTTGTTGTTTATTTTTTGTAATTGTGCTTGAATGATTTGTTTGCTCGATATTTTCAATATATGTTACTTGTTGTCTTGCTTACATGACATATATCTCGTTTTCATTTTGGTTTTAGTAGCAAAATATTCGTGTTGCTATGCTAGGCACATGCATGTGCAACATCGAAAGTTCCATTATGAAGCGTTACTTGTTCGTGATGCTACAAAAACAACTTAGACAATATTGTCATATCTTGCTTATTTAGTCTTATGCAATTCATTACATTTGTTGTAATGTCGCTTTCTTGTTATTTAAAATTTTGTATCATCACACACACACACACACACACACACATACACACACACACACACACACACACACACTCACACACACACACACACACACACACACACACACACACACACACACACACATACACACACACACACACACACACACACACACACACACACACACACACACACACACACACACACACACACACACACACACACACACACACACACACATATATATATATATATATATATATATATATATATATATATATATATATATATATATATATATATATGTGTGTGTGTGTGTGTGTGTGTGTGTGTGTGTGTGTGTGTGTATGTGGGGATATGTGTTTGTTTCTCTTCTATGCAAAATTGTCTCTGATTGTTGTATTGGTGTTGTTATGGAACTATGCTACTTCTCACAGTTTGCTCTCTTTCTTTTTTATATTTTCAAAGGGGGAGAAGCATATGCAAGTTGAAGTAGGGAAACACAAAGTCAGGGGGGAGCCTAACAAATATAAGGAATGCATCGTCGCAAGTTTTGTCATCATCAAAAAGGGAGAGTATTTGAGTATAAACTTTGCCAATAAATGTTTTTGAATGGTTTCAAAATTGACAAAATCATGCACCTATGAATATTGGATGGTATCCTTATATCTTATGGCACTCCTTTGCATTAGAGGTCTTAGAAATCATTAAAAAATATTTCAAAGTTGATCCAAGTTATTAAAAATAGTTTTCTGCATGATTTTTCCCTGCATGTGTTGACACATCTGTATTTCCGTCGACACATGTAATGCATTTTTAAAGCCTATAGAATCAGTAAGTCTTAGGCCGACACATGCATGTTTTAGGTCGACACATACCGAAGCTTTTCTGAAATTGCATAAATTCTTATTTTTATGAGTCGACACATCCACTTTTCAGGTCGACACATGTGCTATCATTTTAAAGCTCGTAGCTTATGTAATTTTCTGGTTGACACATGGTTCTTTATAGGTCGACTCATTTTGTTCAAAAATCACGTATGTGTCGACACATACGACTCTTAGATCGACACATATTGTTTTAGTTGGTAAATTTTTTAAATTATTTTATTCCGAATTTATCCCCTTTTGCCCTAAAAGTTACAAAGCTATAAATACTCTTTCATGCATCATTCCAACTTGTGGAAAACCATAAAATTAGCCTATTTATCTCTTCATATTCAACCTCTAATCTATGCATACACACTGACATTACATTGTAGCGGTCATTGGAGTGTCATCTAGACGAGGATTTCTAGTGTCTAATTGTGTATTGGATGGAGTTTTGTTGGGGTTTTCATCCAGGAAAAGCCTCAAGTTTGTCCTTCAAGATAATTAGTTTATTTGGGGGTTTTCGTGCAATAAGTTCGAGAGGTAATTGCAGTAAATTGAACAACCTTGGAGTGCTTAAAATCTTTGTAAGGAACATTGGAGTGTTTGAAATCTTTGCAAGGAAGTAACTTGGAGTACCAGATAGAATCGAAGTCTTGTGTTGCAATAGTTTGAGATTGATGATGCGTGAAAGCTTTGGAGATAAAAAATAAAAAGGAGTAGCAAGATCGAGATAGTAATTTCTCATTTATTGTGTCTTGGTCTCTCTCAAGATTAAGGAAAGAGAAGGGGTTTAATCAACAACAAGCTTAGGGTTTATGGAGTTGCTCTTGAACACTTCTCTTGTATCAATATTTTTGTATAGTAAGAATTATCTTAATTCCATTGGAATTAGGCACATACGTACCCACACACGAGGACGAAAGTGGAGAACTATGAAGACAAATTCCTCGTGTCACTTTTATTTTTGCTTTTACTTACTTTGATATTCATTGTTCAATTTATCAAATAACACTGCGTTATCATTTGAATTGTAAGAATTTTCCTAATCAATTTTGATCTTTAATTCAAGTGTTGATATATCTTATAATCACTTTTGATTATAAGTGTTTTTGTGTATCAACACAATCAAAGGAAAAATTCTGAAAATTCACTTGCACACTAAGTGTTTAATAAATTGACTAAACTAGTTCTTTTAATATTACCATTGGAAATAACCTTGCTAAGTGAAATTGATTAAACGGTAAATAAATTGAAAAAATGATTCAAGGTTATTAATTTACATTATCGCTCTCATTCCATATCATTTTTTATTTATGGTTTATATTTTCGAGCTTCCCGATAACATTCGTATAAACGACAATTTGAAAAATCTTCCGCGACGTACTTTGATAAAGACCTAACATGTTTGTCAAGCTAAAACCATTGATGAAGAACATGCTAAAATTTGCAAATGACAATACTCTAGCAATGAGAATTTTACTTGAAGAACCAGAAACTCAAGTTGAAAGATAAGTTCGACAAGAGGAAGTTAGAGATCAACCGGGTACAAGCAGACCTCAGAAAACAAGACACATGTTTGCAAGGTTGCAAGAATGTGTGATTATATCATATGATATAGTCGATGATGAAGGTGAGATAGTACATTATGCTTTCTATGCATATGTCGAACCAGTCAATACAACTGCATCATTGAAAGATTCAAAGTGGGTGAAAGCAATGAATGAATAAGTGAAGTCCATCGAAGACAACAATACCTGGTCACTTGTCGAATTACCTCAAGGAAAGAAGGCAATCAATGTGAAGTAGATATGCAAGGTGTAGTTGAATCCCAGAGGAGAAGTAAATCGACACAAGACAATACTTGTGGCGAAAGGATTTCTTCTGAAGAAAGGAATCAACTTTGATGAAGTCTTTGCACCAGTGGCTAGAATCAAAACAATCAGGTTGGTTGTTGGTTTAGCAGAAATGAACAGTTGACACATATGTCAGATGGACGTGAAGTGTGCATTCTTGAATGGACCCTTAGATGAAGAAGTTTATGTTGCACAACCAGTTGAGTTTGTGAAGCATGACAAAGAGAGAAAGGTATCCAGGCTGCATAAAGCCTTGTATGGATTGAAACAAACTCCAAGAGCTTGAAATAAGAAGATATATAGCTTTCTAAGGGAGAAGGAATTTGTGAAGTGCACAACTGAACATGGAGCATATCTAAGAAGAAACAATAGTGTATTTCTTATACTATGTCTCTACGTCGATGACTTGTTAATAACAGGTAGCTGCAAGAAGGAGATCGAAGACTTCAAAGGTGATCTCAATAAGTAATTCGAAATGTCGGATCTGGGTGACATTTCTTATTTCCTAGACATTGAATTCTACAAGAATAATAGAGGTTTGATGATGCATCAAAGAAGATATGAAAGTGAGATTCTCAAGAATTTTGAGATGGAAGATTGCAACTCGACTTTGACACCTGCAGAACCAAGACTGCAACTATCGAAAGATGCAGATGAAGATGATGTTGACCTAACCCAATACAGAAGACTTATTGGGTCATTAAGATACCTTTGTCACACAAGTTCTGACTTAACATACAATGTAGTTATGGTAAGTAGATTCATGTAGAAGTCAAATGTATCACACCTAGCAGCGACGAAGAGGATACTGAGGTATCTGAAAGGAAATCTTGACTATGGCATTTTATTTTCTGCAGTTGATAAAGGAAAAAATGCAAGTTAGCGGGGTACACTGATTCAAATTGATCGAAAATCTACAGTAGGATATGTATTTATGATAAGTGGTGCACCAGTTGCTTGGAGTTCGAGAAAGGAACAAGTAGTGGCATTATCATCGTGCAAAGAAGAGTACGTAGTTGCTTCTCTTTTTGCATGTCAAGTAACATGGATGGTGAACTTAGTCGAAGAAATCATAGGGAAAGATCATGGAGCAATTACCATGAAGATCGACAACATGCCAACTATCAATTTGGCAAAGAATCCAATAGCATATGGTCGAAGCAAACACATCGAAATGAGGTTCCATTATCTCGAGAACATGTAGCAGATGGGAAGATGAACTTGAAACACTGCAGAACTGAGAATCAGATTACAGACATCATGATAAAGAGCGTGCAAGTCGAAGTGTTCAGAAGACTACGAGTTATGATGAATGTAGATAGCTTAGACACAATGAATTATGTGGTGTGTTGAAAGTGTAATTCTTTGTGTCTAAACAAAATGTTGTTTGACACAAGGTGTGTCGAAAAGCTTAGTCTGTTGAGTTGTATGTAGTTGTCGAAGTGTTGTAAGCAAGTTACTACATATAGATTTCGACTTAGGTCTAAAATAAGTATTTTAAGTTTTTATATTTTAAACTTTGACTTATAGAAAAAACTAACCATAGAAGGAGTAATCCCTAATTTTGTAATAATTCATAATACAACTTTATAAACTATAAATAGAATAATATTCATATTTTTAAAGAAGTAATATACAAATTTTAAGGAAACATTTCCATAGATAAACCAAAACATACCCTTGTGCGCAAGCTAGCATTTGCCTTTAAGCCTAAGGATTTAAAATTTGTATAAATAATTAAAATCAGTTTATCCGTTTGGACAGAAGAAGGCACTGTCTGAATGCGTTAACAGAGCATTAAGCTTAAGCTGAGAAGCGAAGAGAAGCTCAGAAGCGATTTTGAGATTATGAAGAGAATCGCGGTGAATTGTAGTGTCACACCTCCTACTCCTACTTCTACACATTCATATAATAACCGTTCTTCTCGTCTAAAGCTTTTCGCTTCTTCATGGCTTCCAAATTATTATGCTACTCATCACAACAACAGCACCTTCACTGCTTTCGCTTCTTCCGTCTCTGGTTCAGGTACTCGTTATTTTTCTTCTCATTTCATACTCCAATCATTACTTCTCCATTTTGAAATAACTTATAAATAAGCACGTTTATGATAAGCTTTTTTTGTTCATGTTGAATCTCATTTCTGCAGAGCAGTTGTTGGATGTGGGATTGAAGAAGAAAAGGAGAGAGATAGCTGGAATAGACCAAGATGAATTAGTGGATCCGAAGCTTTTGGCTGATCCAGACAGTTGTTTTTGTGAGTTTAAAGGAGTGCATATACACCACAAGATATATGATTCTGAATCCAATTCCCTGGAACAAACCAACAAGATGTGTTTGCCTATGATTCTGTTACATGGATTTGGAGCCTCGGTTTTCTCTTGGAAAAAAGTTATGAAGCCTTTGGCTGAGGCTACATGTTCGAAAGTTTTAGCTTTTGATAGGCCAGCGTTTGGATTAACATCTAGGGTCAACTTATCTTCTGCAACAGGAGATGCTAAACCTCTAAATGCTTACTCCATGGCATTTTCAGTGCTTGCTACCTTGCACTTCTTTGACTTATTAAAAGCTGAGAAAGTAATTTTAGTTGGGTATGTGAATATGCCATCTCTTTGTTTTTCACATGGATATTGTTTCGCGATTTTAGTCCCTTTTCTTAGAAGCTTCAAAAATGATTTTTTTAGGCATTCAGCTGGTTCAAGTGTAGCAGTTAAAACATATTTCGAAGCTCCTGAACGTATTGCTGCTATAATTTTAATTGCCCCCGCAATTTTCGCTCCACTTACTACACCCAAAGTTGTTAGAGAGAATCAACCAAGACAAGATAATGAAATGAAAGAAGACAATGTTTCTATCAGAAAAAATCCAATTGTTGAACTTTACACGTCGCTGTCCAAGATTATCAAGAACGTTGCAATGGCAATAACAAAGATGATGAAGCCGATGATAGATATACTTAACTCTTTGTATAGGAAACTGTTATCAACTATCCTGCTTTCTTCCCCTGCAATAATGCTGGTAATAATCTTGTTCATGCAGTACTATATAATCTTAGTTCCTATTACATCAACTTTGATCGTCCAATCATTAATGGAAAATATAATAATCCAAGAGAAACATGCATTGGCTCAAACACAATTTACATTGAACTCATGAAAACCTTTTCATTGAATCAATTTCCTTATATAATTCCTTTTTTTTCAAGTTCATATGGTCAGCTATGTAAGGAAAAATCTGATTATATTGTTTCTTGTTGAATACTATTCTATGCATTTAGTTTGAAAGCAATTCTTAAGCTGACGCCGTCTATAATTTTTCATGACTCTTGACCACTGAACTGATGACCTTTTTTCTCATATGAATCTCAGGTAAGAATGGCAATTGATAAGTTTGGTACTGCTGCAGTTCGAAATGCATGGTACGATCCAAAACAGGTCTCCGAGCATGTCCTTGGTGGTTATACAAAGGTAATCTCATAAGTATTATTTTACTATTCTGTAACAATATGCTCTCTTTTATTTTCGTTAGTCTGTGCTCACCTGGTGTTAGCATTGAATGCAGCCATTGAGGGTTAAGGATTGGGATAGGGCACTGGTGGAATTCACTGCTGCATCGCTTCTGGATGAGGAACCTAATACAAAGCCAGCACTTTCTAAAAGACTTAATGAAATATCTTGTCCGGGTGATGTCTCTGGCTCTTAATGAAATATATTTTTTTGTTGTGTTTAGTTCTAACCCGCTTCATTGCCCCTAGTTGAGCCCTGATTATAATTGGTGCTATTGTTTGACTGTGCAGTTCTGATTGTAACTGGTGATAGTGACCGAATAGTTCCTTCATGGAATGCTGAGAGACTTTCAAGAGTCATACCAGGAGCATCGCTTGAAGTAATTAAGCAATGTGGCCATTTGCCTCATGAAGAAAAAGTGGATGAATTTATTTCAATTGTTGAAAACTTTCTAAGGAAACTAGCAGGCAATTCAAACGAACAATATCTACAACCCGCACTGTGAACTTTGCATTACTCAGCCTTCCCGTTTTACTTTACAGAAAATTCATAAAATACATAAAGACACTAATGCGATTGATCAGATGGAGGAAGATCATTTAAATGTGTATTGATACATACTCATTAAATTCATCAAGCGTGACAAGACCAGCTAATGAAAAGCTTGGAAGTGGAAAAGGGCTTATAAACAATAAAATATATTTTATATAGATACATTACATTATAGTGCTAGCCTGCTAAAGCCCTTGAAGCTATCTTCTTTATGTTAATCTGCCTGAATGATCTGTATCTTCATTTATAGCATAGGCCGTGTGCTCATATCATAGAGGTCACTATTATGTATTTAAGTATGTAATTATGTATTTTATTTCTGGAAATGAATAACTGCAGGGAGTGAATACAATACAGTATATTTAAGGGCTTGATCTCATGCAATTTTTAAACAACTGCAGCAGATGACCTGATACATGATTTTGATATTAAGCTACCTTTCTTTTAGTGCCAAAACTAGGAGCTACTGAAGATAACAACTTTGGAAGACAATATTGCAAATTTGACTTATATAAGCGATAAATCATCTTAATGTTTCAGACCAATGACTGAATCTCTGCAATTTCTTTGACAGAGTTCCAATTTTAAGAATGCGGAACTATATACAATAGCCATAACTGGTTTGCTCTGCTGATTGGCTGTGTGCAGCAATATGTAACCTTTTGAGCTGATTTTAATGATTGGTTCAGGAAGGAAGATCGGTTTAAATGTAACAGTAGCGTCTCCTAGGACTGCAGGACATCAAATCCTGACAAGAAGTCATCACCAAAAATTGCAGCACCAGCTGCTAATGCCTCGGCACTTATTTCCAGTACAGCACCTGGAGGCACCGTTTGACCGGGTTCTTCCATGAATTGTGGTATGTCTGTGAAGCTTGTATGCAAGCCATCATTTCTTGAGAGAAAAGTGGGAATATAACCAATGTTAGAGGGTGGGGATGGTGGAGGAGTTCTAGTTCTATGTGGTTGATAACTTGGTCCAGCTGCTGCTGTACAGTAGCTTGGCCCAGCTGCTGAATGATAGCTTGGTCCAGCTGCTGTATGGTAGCTTGGTTCACCCTCATATTGATCAGAATAGTTTGTAGCGGCGAACGGCACTGAATAGGAGTCTGGCACGAACACGTTTGTGTGTTCATAATTTTCTGGCTGATGGATTGAATCTTGAGGCTGCTTCTGTGGGTAAGCTTGACATAATCCTTCCTCTGCAGTCCACTGGGTATTGTTGTCATAATCCAAGAGCACTGTTCTTTCCTTGCTACCTACTGTGAAACAACTTACAGTTTCAGATCATGATAAGAATTTTACAAAAAGCTAGAGCCAAACTTAAATAAAAAATATAACAATTGACTGAAATGACTGACAATTTACGAGTTCGCTAAAAGATTGCGGAAACGAGATGCTAACTGCAGAAGAGTAGCAAAGGTGAAGCAGAAAGGCAGATTTGTTTTTGGCAGGTTATGAAATAATCACATACCTGGATGAGAGTTTAGTTTTTTCTCACCATCCGAAATATGAATCAGAATATCAATAAAACCTCTTGGTTTGTTGGATTTCTTCTTTCGCAATTGGTAGCTCCGAACCCCCTCTTGCTTTGGCATTGACGCCTCATTATTCTTCACTTGCTTGAAAAGAAACCTCTTCAGACCAATCGATGCTGAGCCATGAAGTTTTTCCTTGAATATGGGGTCTATACAGTAAACTTCCACGTTTAGTGCCAAGTCTTGGACATTCGGCATTGAGTCATCAACAGGAACTGCAAAATTGGTTTTCCAAACAGGATTGGCCTTTCCAGAATCAACAACTTTGGTACAATATTTGCTGTTCGGATCAATCCACCCAACAGCATACCATTGACGTTTCCAAAGTGAAGTTGAATGCTGCAGACCATGAGCAGATTTCAAACAGAACTCGACCCATATAATCCCCATGTAAAATGCAGAAAGAAAAAACAAGAGTTGAAAGGATCTTGTATCCTTTAAGCTTCTTTAAACATGGGTTACAGAGAAAAAGAGACTAACTGAACATGCTTTGCTTCATTTTAAAGTCTTCTTTTCTTTGATTCAGAAAATCCTTATACCTAATCACTGTTCAGGGGTCGCCCTTTGCTAAATTGCCAATCTTTTCTTAGCCTGTTGAGTTTATCATAGGAAGACAGGAATCTGACAATGTTTGTGATCATGTCATATATAAAATACCAATTTAACATCATTTTACATCAAATAAAATATATTAGGTTAATGACAAAAAACATCTAGAATACTTGTAGGATGACACTGAAATCTTTAGAAAAGGCGATTTAGGATATGCTTTTGTACAAAAATCTGTTCTTCCTGAAGCATCAATATTTCTCAAATTTACAGAATTACAGTGAAAGCATGTCAAAAAAAAAATCCTGTAACTACACATTTTCCTTGCTCGGTTGAATATACACCAGCCAAAAGTGAGGCGACAACAATCTTCTTTTTGCTAGCTGTTTATACAGCGAAACACCATCGCTACATTATTGTCCTTGATGATTTTTAGTGTCTCTTGATCAGAGGTGGAATCAACAACAGCTTTTGGCCTGCACGTGTGAAAGCCTGCCCGCCTTCATGGGTTGCTGATGAAGCTGTTCTCGTGTACATCATGGTCGTAGAGTCCAAAATGTCGCCAGCAAACCCACAAGCCTTAAAAAACAACCTGAGAAAAAGTTGATAACATCAATTGCTGTTCACAAACAGATAAAACTAAGCATTCTGGAAGTATAATGAACAACAACCTCTCATCCTCTGAGCAAAGGGCTGCTATGTCATAGATGTCTCTATTCGTAAGCATTCTGCAAAATAGATCATATTCAGATATTTGGAATTCTATGTATTGATCTTTAACCAAAAATGGGAAGAAGCCCTATACACAAAACACTTTAGTATTCAACTCCTACAGGTTTATGTTCACGAGATCAGAGCCAATGCATTAAAACCCGTCGACTTATATTTCAAACTAAAACCATAACTCTTACTTTCAATTTGACAGCATTTAGTGCATATTCAAATTCATATTCAAATTCAAACACACAACAACGCTGCAACATAGAGACCTATCTAGTGCTTCCAATTGAAGGTGTGTCTTACACCAACATAAAGACCTATCCAGTGCTTTTAATTGAAGGTGTGTCTTACACTGATATATGCAGTTGTATGCAATTATTTAACTTTATAAAATTATTTGCAGTGTCGATGTGTTATTGTTGAGTTTGGTGTTTGTTTTTGTGCTTCATTCACTGGTGGAGATTGATGCGAGTAAAGGCACGCTTACAAACATCAAACCAAAACTGTACCAACAAAAACAACATGAAGAAAACTTAATGAATAAGATTAGAATCTCATCAACAAAAGGCTATGTTTCTCTCTGCTATGCTGCAAAGTGAAAGTCTCTAGTTCAGAAATCATGCAGATTAGCATTGAATCACCATCAAAGAAGAGAGGCACTTAGTGTAAACATACCTCACAATTTTTTTAACAATAATTTTTCCAATTCCCATTCTCCGCAGGGATGGAATAACCTGCAAGACACTGAAGCTCGTTGAATAATACACGTCAACCATGGTAAAACCCAAAATTCAGTAATCCCCAAACCAAGAAAACCCAGAAACAAAAAAACGAAAAATAACCATACCCAAGAACCAAGTTATCAAATTCAGCTCATGGGCTATCAAGAAAAGATAAAAAGTTTCTATTTTTATCGTGTATAGGCAAGTGTTACCATGAGATCGTAAATAGAAGCAGTGAGACCAAAATCAGAAACAGCACGGCCAAATCCAACCAACAAATCGCGGGAAGGAGAAACCGGTGACAAAAAATCAACTATAGAAAAAGAAGATTTTCCCAACTCATCAACAATATTAGGTTTGCAAAAAACAGAGACAAGAACATCGCTATGAGAAAGAGCAATGCGGAGTTTGTTGATATCAACGGGTTCAGAGGTATCAGGAAATCTCTGAAAAGAGTGGTTGCAAGTGGAGCAGAGGTCTTGGAGTTGTTGAGGAACGACATGGCGTGGGTTGGTGGAAATGTAAACTGGGAGAAGGGGTGTTGATAGATTCTTTTCTTTGTTCTTGTTGAAGTGTGAGGTTTTGGTGATTCTTGTTCTTACCCATTTCAACTCCATTGATTTTGAACTGAAAACCTCTGTCACGTGGATGTGAGTGTACGCTGCTACAACTCCCATTGCCGCCATTTTTGTGTTGATGGATATAATAACCGAAACTCAGGTGCTACTTCCAAGTTCCAATTCCTTGCTCCACTCTTCATTTTATATTATCCAAAAAATCGAAGCAACAAGTTTGCAATTAAAAAACAATATAAAAAGGTTTTACACTTTCCCTCTCATTCAATCAATAACCATTAAATTTTATTGATAGATGTTCGACTTTTTTTTAATTACATACTACCTTCCTCCGCATCTTAATATAAAATTTCGTTGATTAAATGATTAAATTTATTGATTATTTGTATAATTTTACAAGTATATTTTTAAAAGAGAGAAAATAATTCGTATTTAAGAGAGATGTAATATAATTATTAGGGATATCTTTGGAAAAATGATTAGTGTATTTTAAAAATTAAAGAAAATCTTATAAAAAAGAAGAAAAAAACTCAAAAAGATTTTATAATTAAAGACAAAGATAATATAAGATATTATTTGTCAATAGTTATAATACACTGACAGGATGCATAACAATTATTCTCTATAAGTATATTATATATGACGTTTGTTTTAACTTTAAAAAAAATAATATACATAAAAATATTTTTTAAAATATTTAAAAATAAATAATTTTTTTTTTTGTATTTGAAAGATTAATTTGGATATTTAGAAGTTAAAGTTTTGTAATTTTCTGGGAAGTTAACTTTTGGAATCCTCCTATTATCTCACACTATAAACAATTGCAAAGTACGAAGAACAACATGTATTACTATAAATATATTTGTTAAGACATATATAAAATATATAATATTACATAAATTTTTCGTTATCATAAATCTAACATTATATTTTATCACTAAGGATGGTTGAGGATCTTTCAATATCATCGATCTTATAACTGTTACATCCACATTATTCAGACCCTTTGTTTCGTAATAGTGAAATATACTCCCCATAATCGTCAAATCTTCATCCGTTTTCAGCTCAAACTTACTGAACTGTATCTTCCATTCATTGTCAATTGAGGGTGAACGGTGATAAAGCTTTATAACTATTCGATTATTTGGTATCACAAGAGATTCTCTAGTGTGGATTTCAGATTGATAAGATTGATGATCTCGGTGAGCCTAAATTCAACAAGATATCTCTCGTCGTTGAAGTAGACAAATGTGATATACAAATATTAAGATTTTTGTGGTGTTTTATTTTTTTATAAGCTTATGGTATTTTAGTTAACAACGTGAGAGGACATCCTATTTATAGAAGTTTAGATCATTAATGACCTCAATAATAAACTCAATCATGTCTTTGAGGATATTTCGGTAAGTTCCGGAATAACTCATTTACATTTAGAAAAACACAATAAAAATGGTTTGTCCTGGATTTAAATTTCATATTTACCCATGTTAAGAGTTGTTTTATACAACAACTGTTTTGGTATAGTGTTTTATTCACAAATATAAAAAAAATTCATTAACATAAAAATTTTTACACTAATATTTATATAATTGATGTTGGATATACATTAAAAAAAATCAAAATGTATCTAGATTACATCGTTTATCATAACAATCAAACATTACATACAAAAAATGATGTTTAAACCTAAATATACTGCTATATAAAAACTAAAATGCACCAAAATACGTGTCTTCACTAAATCTATATTTATGGATGGTTGCTTATTTGATTCTCTTTCAATCTCACTCAACTTGGTGATTTTCCATCCTATCCAAAAAGTTATCTGACCAAGTTTCATCTTCCTTTATGGAATGAGTTATCCATTTCGGTGAAGTCAGTGGTATAAGACACCCCGATTTCAAAGTAAACTATTGATTTTGAAAGTCACCATATACACAAAATACGTTCGGTTGGATTTTGAGGTGGGTTACTCCGAAGTGGAAAAATGTTTCTAAGAAGCCATATCTTGTCAAGTCAATACGCACCCTATTATATACACTTGCTATAAGATGACTCATTTCAGGAAAGCACATTCTTTTTTCCTCTAGTACATGACCATTAATACAAGGAGTAGGAGATTCATGATGTGTATCAAAATGTTCTTTTCCTCATATTGAATTATGTATGATTTCTTATGAGTATTCAACTCTTTAAAATGTTGTTAACAGACAAGTGTATGATTCTCCTCTCCTCTACCGAGCAAAGCTGGAATAGTACCATAATCGCAGTTACCGTCACCCTTAATATCTACAATTCATTCAATGTATTTGTGCACAACAACTGGAATTTTTCAATATGTTTAATTTTTGGTAAATATGGTAATGGAGATGTTTTGCTAATGCGATCACCTTTGAAAACACTTTTTGAGATTTTAAAGTTGGAGAATTTGGAAAATGCGAGTCAATATTGTTGCTGTAGAGCTGAAAGAAAAGGGTATAAGTTATTAATTTACCGGGTGATACATAGGTTATATTGTATCGTGTCCACAAAAATTAGTTATTGATTCGTCGTTCGACAAATTATTGTTAATGAGTTTGGGGTTGAATGAGTTTTGTAAAGAAAATGTTATTAATAGAAAATGAATGTAAACAAAAGGAAAAACTAAGGAAGAACTTATCAGGTATGCATATATACTACTTCTCACTAACTTAAACTCGTCGTTCTGTTACACTGAACCTAACATTACTCATCAATGTCACTATGTATCACTCACAACCCAAGTCATTTCTAACCCAAATTGAGAGGCCGACTGCATCACCTCGGTGGCAATCTCTCAACCACCTCGACAACATAGAAGTCAATCGTGCTCGCGTGTGTCGACGATCTCTCAGAACGACACAAACAACACAGAGGCTTTAAGCTTTGATACCCAAGTAGATTGTCAGTTCTAAATCTATCTCTAGAGTTTAGAAACTAACAGATTAATCATCCTAGATAAGAACCTAAGCAGCATATGTCTATAACAACTCAAATCTCTAGCATAGAGCAAAAATCTAGGACAACAAATTCACAAAGATTCATAAAGCAAGTTTTATATAACTCCAAGGGTGACAAATATACATTAGATCAAAGAAAATATACATACAAACCCAAACATAGAAGATTACACAAAGAGGAAGAGAAATGAACTGCAGACCTACCGGTTTGTCAGTGTCGATCAAAAAGCAATCCACCCCGGATCATCCGTATGTAAGCTCCATAGTTGTTATCTAAGCTAACCCTAACAAAATTTACAAGTTGATGGAGTTGGTTCCCCAAAACCATAACATAAAAATGACTGAAAATGAAGTTATAAAACAAATCTCAGCAGACCGCGCTAAGCGGGCTGCACGATACTTACACACTAAACCGACCTAAACCACGCTAAGCGGGCTTCAAAACTTTGGTTCCGCCAAAAGAATAAAATGCAAGCAGCACACTACAAAATGCGCTGAGCGCCACTCGCGCTTAGCAGCCTCCTGCGTGCTAAGCAGGCTCTCTTGGACAACAAGTCCCAAAACCGACCTTTTATTCCAAATACGCGCATCCGGAGTTATGCCTTTGACACTTTATTCCTTAATGCTCAAAAATTCAACAAATATCTACAAAATAAATGGAAAAACATCAAACGGTACACTATATACACAAAAACATAAATAAACATAAATTAAACGTATTTACACAAAAGTCAGGTTTATTCAACAAAATTACAAACAAAAATTCGATAAGTGCAACAAAAAGTATACACATAAATAGCTACAGTTTACGCTTATCAAACTCTCCCCAATTAAACTTTATTTGTCCTCAAATAAGGTTAAACAAATCAAAGAACTAAAAGTAATAAATCAAAGAATCATGCATCAATAAGTTTTGAAAAACGAAAAACAAATGCTATGGCTCAAATGAAAAATGGTACACACGAAGAAATATATTTACCCCTAAACTACAACAATAACATAAACATGAAACGAATGCTAAATACAAAGAACATGCCAAACATTCTAAAACAATACTAGTTCACAAATGAATCACACCTAGCAAAATTAATCATCGGTAGATGAAAAACACACAAAAATGGGGTATTTTCACTCATCCAACAATCTTGCAAACAATAGACTAAGTTATGCATTCATCTAAAAATTTACATTGAAAATATAAAAGCAAGAATCTCAAGGGCTTTTCAAGGTTGTAATGTGGCTTGGTTAACAAACAAGGGATAAGTCATAAAGCTAATCGAAACAAAAACTTGCCTAAACCTAAGTGAGTGATCAATTCACCAAAGACTCAAACACAAATTTCCAATTAAACTTCTTTCGAATCCCAAATTTCAAACCAAAGCACATCACTTATTAATACAACATTATTCGAACTCTTTTTTTTTTCCAAAGCTTTTTTCAATTTTTTTTCTTTCTTTTTTTTATTTTCTTTTCTTTTTTTTCTCTCAACCTCATAGCAATCACAACATAAATACGCAATCATTTTTCTCCCCAACTTGAATCCAACCATCATCATAATGTGAATACTCCCTACTTTCTAAGGCAAGGTAAAAATTCAAATACAAATCATAATTAAGGGTTCAAGAAAACAAAGAATCAATATCCATGCAAAAAGGGAAAATAAACACTCATAGACAAGCATTTAGCAAAAACAACATGGATATCGATAAAAAGCTCAAAGGGTTACAAATGATCACACAATCACAAGGTGAATTGACTATTTGGCTAAGGTAATTGTGCTCAAAATGGAACAAAAAATACCTTGATCACTTTCTTGCATTCATACAATCAACACAAATAAAATATTAAGCATAATAAAATCTATTTAAAACAAGCATTGTGGTCTCCAGCATATGTGAACAATGGAAAGGTACCTCACAAAAAAGGGTAGGAACTAAAGTGATTCACAAATGAACAAGTGTACAAAAGAATGAATGACATAAAAATTGTAAAAAGTATAAGTATCATGAATATGCTAAGGTATAGAAAGCGATAGACACATACCTCGAACATTTACAAAACTTTAAAAAAACCATTACCACACATTGGCAAGTTGACACACTCAAAATTGGAAAATCACCAAAAGCGACTTCA